GAGCCTGCAGCTGAGCAGGCGACTTGGAAGACCCACGCACGAGCTGTACCGACAGGCGGCGCCCATCAGCCAGCGCGTTGTTTAGCTTGCCCGCCGCCTCTTCGGCAGCCTGCTTCGAAGCGTAGGTCACCTCAGCATGGCCCGACGCCTTGCCGGTGCGATCGTAGAGCAGCGTGCAGTTTTTGATAGCACCAAACTGCTTGAAGCACGTCATGACATCCTCAGGCGATGCCTCCGAGTCCAAGTTGGAGATAAACACGGTCGCTGGACCCGCCTCGCCCCTGATCGAGATCTTTACGTTGGGCTTGACCGCGGGCTTTGCCTTTTGCTGCTCCTCGATCCTCTTCTTTTCTGCCAGCCCGGCCAAACGTCCTCCAGACTCGGGCTTGGCCGCCTTTCCCACCCGCCCCGCCACCGTCTTACCACTCCCAACAGGCTTGCTGCCGCTGCCGCCGCCACCTGCCGCGCCCAGTCGAGCAGAGATGCCCGTGCGAGCGCTTGCAGCTGGCACTACGGCCTTGGCTGTATTTTTGGTACGCCTCTACCCGATGCAATAATACAAGTAAATGTGAAATGTCTTGGATTAGACAAGCGAAAGGCCGAATTGCTTGCACGAAAGCAGAGTACCAATATTGCTACTTACCGCTGGCTTTGCCGCGCCCGAGGTCGACAGCCGAGACGAAATGTCAGAGACATGCTTTGCGACTGCCACCTTCGCCCTTGACCTAGTCTTGGTCTTGGCTTGCGGCTGGGCCTGAGCTTTTGCCTGGGGCTTTGGCCTAACCTGCCTCTGATTGCGATTTTCCTTGATTATCTGGTCCAAGCTCTGGTCAAGACGCGTATTGAGGTCCATTTCAAGAGAGCGATAATGCGCAAAGTGCGAATGATATATAAGAAAGTGAAAAGGGAGCGTTGATACTGAGCAGACAAAATAAAATGAAATGAAATTCGCGAAACAAAGATTTACTTTGCGCAGGGAACGGAGAGCCCGATTTTATGCAAAGCCAGAGAGGAGCTCGGCTCAATGAGCGAGCGAGCCGGTTGCATTTCGGGGTCAGCGACTCGGTAGTCTTTGCAGAGAATTGGTGCAAAGATGCAAAAGCCTCCTTTTGGAAGTGCCCTTTTATAAACGATTACTTGCGTTGCCATGGAGCAGTCTCGGCTGCCAACAAGAACTGCTCTTTCCTTCGCTTGAACAAGCTGTCTACTACGTTTTCGCATATATTTACTTTTTATTCTTCTGCCTTTTTGTCTACCATCAGTCGAGATGCTTTTAGACCTCCCAGACCACGTTATTGCGCGCATCATCTCTCGAGATATCAGGACTAGCCATAGCCAAAGTGGACGGTTTAGCGGTCATGACAGGCAAGCTATGATAGGGCTAAACCTGTTCAAAACGCTCGCGCTATGTGACAAGCTGCGATGGCTAACCTTGCAAGCCTTTGCTAAGCAGGCATATATCCTGTGTAGTGCCGAATCTGGTAGAGCAAAATACACCCTAGAAGCGGGATTGCCACTACATGAGGTCATTGGCTACAACTACAACAAGTACGTTCAAACAGTGCTTTTGGATATATCCTACGAATATATCCTTAGTGGAGCAGCATTACGAATGCTAACTAATATCAGTCATTGTTATACAGAATTTGCAAATGCCAGAACGCTTATCGTGGATCTATCTATTGGAGATCGGTCCGATACGCCAGACAAGGCGACTTGTGCTGAAAACATGGATTCCCTTGTAAAGCTTCTGAATCGCATATTTCCAAATGCGCGCAACTGTCGAATAGAGTATAGGAACAGACGAGAAATTCTCTCAACAGTTAGGACGCTGCACGACTGCAATTTGATCAGTAAACTGCTTAATGGCAAGACGAGCATCAGCTATAATATACAAGATTCGAGCATCATAGTGAATTCCGTAGCAGCTGTCCCTAGTCTAGCAAGTCTTGTGATTCGTGGTGGCTGCAGTATTGACAAATTTGTAGAATTGGCTCGCAAGAGTTGCTTGACACTTGAGAGCTTGACTGTCGACTGCATATCGACTAGGCAGTTTAGCCATATAGTATGCAATGAGGACAATGTGGAAACCTGCTATCCGCGGTTGAAAAGGCTGGTTTATGAAAATATTCTTTCTGAACTGTTCCCAGTAACAGTGTCGCCAGACATACACCCATTCCCTGCTCTCGTTGATCTCACATACATCAATCACAATGTGCAGGATTATTGTCTGATGTTGATGGCAATGCATAAGCAACTGAACAGGCTGACCATGACCATTACCAGGCAAGCGGCTTTGGAGCTTTATCGCAGCAATATATTTGTAAAGAATGGCCTCCCGAAGGCTAAACATGTTGAATTGATTTTGAATTTAAATGAGACCGAGCTAAGCTTGGATCAGCTTGCTCTAATAAACGGGGATATTTTTCTGATGGTGCCACTTGCAGAGTCGCTAAGTATATCCTTGTGCAATCACTTGCCAATTCAAGAGATTTCAACCACTTTATTAGAATCACTAACTGTGGCGAATTTACGGTATCTAAACTTGGATGTTGTGACCATATCAATATCAGCACTTGTTCAAGTGCTTGCGCAAGTGCCCACATTACAGGCCATTAGAATCCAACCGCATTTAGATGACATTAACCCGGCCGGGGAATGTATGAAAGAAGTGTTTGCTGCAGATGCAGTAAAGGGATTTTGTCACTCTGATGTTCCCTTGGCGCCAAATTTAAAGTATGCACATTTACAAAGTTTTTTTTACACCAACAGAGCCAGCCTGGCGCACTACTGCTTCTTGATGGTTGCTGGCTGTCCCAAGTTGTTAAATATTGTGTGTCATACGAGTGATAAATCAATCGAACCATTTAGAGATGAGCTGCTTGAGAAACCGATGTACTACCCTTATAAAGACAAGATTAGCCAGGTATATTGGGACAGGTAACTCTTTGGCGTTACGCAAGGAAGATATCAAGTGTTTCCATGAGATCTAAATACCAAAAAGACAGAAAGTAGACTGGTTACCTGTAAATACCACAAGCACGCAACAACTATTACTTTCACGCCAACCATCTCTTGAAGCCGCACTTTGCCAGGGAACTTGAGTGATCTCTTGCTCAGCGGCAAACATGGACATGCCATATGCTAGAAAGAAATGTTGTCGGTAAAAGCGATGACGCATACATGGCAACGGGATGCTCCTCGCCCTAATCCGGCTGAGATTAAGCTTCGATTGTGCATAGTAGCATGTTTGTTGATGCACAATTAGCTGCGTTGTTGACAGAAAAACAATCGCGGGTTTCTGCGCTGTATTCTACTTTCCACACGACTAGATACCCCACACTTTTTCTTTCTTTCTATGGACAGCGAAGAAATCACTTTTATCATTTGCAGTATTGACAAACTCACGAATGAGAATCGCATGTTGCGGGCGCGCTTGGAGGCGGTAGAGCAAAATAGCTATGCTTCGTCGAATTGCCATTCCTCTCCAGAGCGCAATGTAATAACCAACGGGCTTGCGCGCAAAGGCGAAGACGACGCCGACGCCGATGCTGTTGAGTCGCTTACAACGAAGCGCCTAGACGAGATTGTACAAGGCGCCAGCGCTTCCAAGTCGACGTGGGCCGGGCTCCGCCAGGTGTATCCGCCTAGACAGTCGGGGTTTGCACCTCGCCACTCTAGCGCCGGCATACCTGCCTCTAAGATGAGCGATTCAGAGGCAGATGACGAGGCCTATAGCCAGGCGGCGACAATGGCAGCCTACGGAATGGAACTCTTACGCATTGCGCTTAGTACGCCGCAGATCAACAGGAGACTGACGAGGCAGACAAGTCGATTGCTCGCCACTCTTTGCGCTACGCTTGTCGTCACGCGCGACCAGCACAGAGACAAGGCTGACAAGGCTGACAAGGCTGACAAGGCTGCTGGAGAGATTGCCAATGGCTCCAAGCTTTCGCGGGATGCGGGTGCAGACTCGGAGTCAGCAAATATCTACCTCGCCAAGCGCTCACGAAGCATGGAACACTCTAGACACTCTCGTAAGGCGCCACATAGTGACAGCATCAGACAGCAGGTTTCTCCAACATTGCTTTGCGCTAGTAGCCGCAAGCATTCCGATTGCGGTTATGAATCGAGCTCGGAGCTAACAGATCTGAGCAGCGAGTTTTCGTGCCAGGAAAAGCGGCGACATTACAAACACGCAAAGCGGAGTGAACAAGGCGCCAGTGCAAATACCGCCATAGTCGCTACTCCGATATCACCAATAACGCCGGCTTCCGAACTGCAGCGCACTGACGACGCCATGGCAGAAAAGGATACGAGTGATGGTGACTATGATGCCTCAGCGAGTGATGCAGAGACAAACGGCGAGTCTGACCTAGTTCTTGGTCAGGGACAGGTGATGAGGCTGCATCGTCGGGTCGTTGTTCGGAATGCGCTCTTGAGTCGAGGTCTGCCTGAATTAGCTGCTACAGCGTTCTTTGATAGGTGGAGCACAGGCACTAACAAAGCTTATGACGGCGCGTGGACTATCTGGGTGGTTTGGTGTGAAAAGCAAGGCTTGGACCCACTGACAAGGTGTGAAACACATTTAGCAACTTGCATTTCAGAAGTCACAAAGTCGGCGAGTTCGGCAACTAGGGTGAGAATTGTGGCAAGATCGATTTGGTCTGTCGCCGATGGAACAGTACAAGTAGCAGACGTTGGAAAGTAGAATTGTATATCAATGTACATGTGTAGCCTTTTGCTGCTAGTGGTCAGCCCAGTACCAATTTTCATTTCTTTGCAATAAGATCTGGAATATATGACCGTTTTAATCTGAGCCAAAGTGGTACCGCCGATTAGACACCTGTAACCAGTAGTTTCGAAAGAGTTGTGCAACCCTTTTAAGCAATATTTTTTCATATTATCGCATAGCTGGCACAATACTTTATATACGATTTTTAGCAACAAAATTTGTGAAGAAATTCTGCGAATTAGCTCAAAAAGTGGGGGAACTTTACGCCCGGCTAGCTCAATGGATAGAGCATCTGACTTCTAATCAGAAGGTTGTGGGTTCGATCCCCACGTTGGGCTGTTTTGCTTCACTAGTATTTTTTTCTTCTTTTTCACTTCGAGAAAGTAGTTCGATTGAGATGCAAATCTGTAAACCGTGTGGTGGCGAGAATGGCAGCATATCTCAAGAAACAGATTGGAGCAAGCAGCAAGGTGAAGCGCTCAGCTGAAGCACCCTCCACTACTCCTCCATTGCTGTTTTGTGCTATTGCCTGATGTTTAGAAGCACTTTACCAGAACGGCACCACTTTATTTATTAGTATGCACTGTCAAAGTATAAAAACAAATACAAGCTATATTCGTTGTATTTCTTGACCTTTTCCTCGATAGAGCTTGTATAGTAAATCAAATTGCACTTGCTCATGTACTCACCACTAAGTTCATACATCAGTACTGTGAACTCGGGTGGGTTTTCATTAGCGTCAGAGTTTGTAGACGAGTACATCACGTAGACATCGCCTTTGTCTATAGCACTGATATTGTCATTACCCGTGTTATTTATGTCAACGATTAGAACACACATAGAAGCTTGCGACTGAATAGACCGTTTTATGACCCTCCCCAAATCCGGTTGTTTCGTATATATAATAACGTAGTCCTTATGTTGCTTGTACAAGTAGCAGTCATCATAGCTTTCATCGCTGCAGAGTAACTTCGGCATCATACAGGTGTATAGGGCAATGGTGCTTAAATTTTGTTAAAATTTCTAAATAAAGGACAAAAAAGAAAGTAGAGAGAACAACTGCCGTAAAGAGGCAGTTGCCCACTCTAAATTACTCAGAGCACCCTCCGCGGCATTATAAAACGCTAGCGAAAAAGCACCCTTTGCTCTGTACTAGCTGTGGACAGTTTCCTTTGAACAAAGCACCACTAAAGGCAAAGACTTGGTAAAAAAAAAAGCAGCAGCCGGCGCTGCACTCCCTCTTTTTTCCCTCCCACTTACTTCGCTCGAGCAGCGACATGTACAAAGTCCTCTTGTTCCACGTGTCCTCCAACATTTTTCAAAGACACTTGTCTGCCTTTGAGCAAAGACTTGCAGTCTTGCCAGCTGATCGGAAAAGGAGCATTTTCCTCCAAAGGCATCTTGTGAAAGCATCATCCTTTCCTAAGCAGCAATAGCTGTCGCGCTGGCCGAAACCCCATCCGCCATCCAAAAGCGCTCATGGATACAGCATTTCCTTCCTTTCCTTTACTGCCCTTGTCACATTATTGTTTCTCTCCTACTTCTATGTCACCTGTACCCACATTTCAAAGGCTTCCCAAGCACGTACTAGAGACCATTTGCAACTATGTGATGCGTGGGAATGCAAGTACTACAGGAAAGTGCAGTCGCCCGGACTTGTTATACTCGCTGTGCCTAGAGTGGACAGTGGTTGCGCTCGAGCACTGCTATAGCACAGTTGACCTGACGCTAGACAGCATTGCGACCGGAATATGCACCTCTCACACTTGCGCGGGAATGAGCGTGCAAATGAACAGGCTATGCCACATTACAAAGACCGTAAACATAACACTTAGTTTATATGACGTGGTCAGTGGAAAGGCCGCCCAAGCACTAGCGCAGTCCCCGTTTGCATCCTTGGTGTTTGAGACGGTCAGGAAAGTGCGCATCAACTTTACCAAAACACCTGCACTTGATTTACCATTACCTGCCTTTGACGTAAACACAGTGCCAAGTTTTTACAAGCAATTGATGCATACGTTTCCATATACTCATAAAGTGATTACATCAAATTATTTATTTGGTAAGCCCATTTTGACGGCAACAGAATGCAGGTTTGAGCAGGTTGTAGTGAATGTGCATAACAGATACAGAAATGCACTTACAGCCCTAAGCTGGGATGTGCGGGCTATGCAGGGCGCAGCAATTATTGTTCCAAATATCACATACTTGGCTATGCTTTGCACTGGCGATGTGGAGCATATACCACAGCTGGTACGCAACTGTGCAGATACTCTAGAGTTTCTACAGTTGCACAGCTACGCATACTCAAAGAGCAACAATATATTTGAATATGACAGCAATAGAGCAGTCGAGTACCATAGGCTAAAGGAAGTGGGGTTTGTAAATATAGCTAACGTGACACCTCCTGAGCAGTCTGATACAAGCCCAACAATTCTGCTTCCACATCTATCCAAGCTTTCAGTGATGGGTGATTATCCATTTAAGAATAATGTGCTTTTCCAAAGTGTCAGCAAAACATTAACAGTGGCAAATTTAGAAGCATCAGTCTCACTCTTAAGCGCACTCAACAGATTTAACGTATTCAGCGAGTCATGCTGCCCTAATGTCTCTCACATAAGCATCTACAATAGTGATTACATGTTTTCTAACGAAAGAAATGACGCATACTTTTCATTCGTAACCAGGGTCTCTCACCAGATACAATCGCTGGAATTCTCAGATGAGCGAATTGCCGACATATTTATGGACTATATTGACCGCAAGCCAATGCTTAGCAACATCCAGGAGTTGAATATAGGAGAGTTGGAGGTTTCAATCGATTCATTTTGCTTGCTTGTAAAGTGCATGCCACAAATGCGACAAGTGATTATTGAAGATATACGGATGCATGGGGAGCATAATATTCAAAGTGAGCAGTTTTTGCTAGATAAGGCGAGAAAGAGGCTGAATGGCGTCAAGAGCAATTTGCAGTTTTGCCAGATCACAGCGAGCATCTCCAACGACTCTGTTAAGGACGTGGCCGTATTTGGCATGATTTTATCGCTCGTTTGTCCGCGGTTTACGAGGCTAGCTGTATGCGGTAAGGTGCGCCGCAAGTACGCCTCGTATATTCGCGAGGCGATCACCAAGGAGCCATTTGCCAAATATGCCAATCGCCTTTGTCGACTTGCTATCGACGATCCAGAATCAGGACTTCAGATCAGCTAATCACGTATTCTCACACCAACTTTTTTTTTTTTTTTTTCGTAGTTTTTATTTTTTAGAGGTTGGTTTCTCTCTTTATTTCTTACTTCCAGACGTTACTGTTCATATATATATATAGTTAGAATTGGATAATGGCGGGCAATAAAAAGACGCCGACAGACTTTAAAGCCCGGGCAAAGGCTAAGGCCAGGGATGCGCCCAAGAAGAAGCGCCAGGGAATCAGTGCTCGCCGCGCACACAACCCAGCAGCCACAGCAGCAGCAGCCATAGTACCCACAGCAGAAGCAGCAGTAGAATCGGACGACGAGCCTATCGACGACGAGGACATGGAGTTTGTACGCGAGAACGCGAAGAGCCTGAGCTTCCTGAGCTCAGTCAACCCCGAAAAGCTAGCAAAGATCGACAAGGAAGCCAAGGCCAAGAAAATGAGGAGCAAAGATAAACCAAAGGTAGCAGCGCCCACCGAGCTGTCCGAGACGGAGGACGAGGCGGACAGCGACGAGGACGAGAACATGGGGATTGTTGCAGAGGATAGCGACTCGGATCTGGAGGTTTACAGCGAAGAAGACAACGTGTCCGAGACAGAGAGCATGGGCGAGGAGGACGAGGGCGAATACGCGTTCCGTAATAGCAAGTCGCGGCGAGTGCAAAAGCGCAAGGCCATGATGGACGGCGCCATGAGCTACGAGCAGGAGACGCGTGCGTTCGAGCAGACGGAGAAAAGGCCCAAGGTCTCCAACCGGCTTCCGATCAAAACCGCCGATGGCCGACTGGTAGTGTCCGACGAGTCCGAGCAAGACGAGCCTGGGTCTGTATCCGAATCCGATGAAGCCAAAGCCGAGGCTGAGGCCGAGTCTGACGACGCAGAGAGCGACAAAATGGACGTGTCAGACGAGGACGAGGACGAGGACGAAGATGAGGCAGAGGCTGGCTCGAGTGCCGGCGCAAAACCCACGGCGCCAAGGCGCGCTGCGGCTGACGACGGCACCACGGACTATAGCGCAGCGCCGGACCGCGAGCAAATGGCGCGAAAGGAGTACATTGTAGTGCAGCAGAACCGGCTGGCGGGACTGGCGGACATGATCATGCAGAATCCGGAGCGCGGGGCCAAGGCGTACAAGCTGCTGCACCAGATCAGCGACGACCCCGACGCGCGCGTCAAGCGGCTGGGGCTGCTGACGCAGCTGGGCGTGTACTGCGACGTGCTGCCGGACTACCGCATCCGCGAGCTGACGGAGAAGGAGAAGCAGATGAAGGTGACCAAGGACGTGCGGCAGCAGCGCATGCACGAGGAGGCGCTGGTCAGCAACTACGGCGCGTACTTGCGGCAGCTGTTTGCGGCGGCCAAGGCGGGCATGAAGATTTTTGGCAGCGCCGACGCCGACGTCGAGACCGGCGCGGTGGCGGCGCGGGCGCTGGGCGAGCTGGTCAACGCGCACCCGCACTTCAACTTCCGCAAGGACATCCTGGCGGCGCTGGTGGACATTTACGTGCAGCCGGCGTCGCGCATTGCCATGGCGGCGTTCGCGCCGATGGCGCAGACGGCGCGGCTGGCGGTGCTGCGGCTGTTCCGCGACGACGCGTCGGGCGAGTACTCGCAGAACGCCGTGCTGCTGGCGTCCAAGCGCATCAAGCGGCTGTCGTACCGCGTCGACGCCAGCGCGCTGCGGCCATGGCTGCACCTGCGGCTGCGCGACGAGCTGCGCTCCAACCCCGACGACCGCAAGCGCCAGGAGCTGGACCAGCAGCAGCGCGACCAGAAGCGCGAGCAGCGCAAGCTGCTGCGCCGCAAGAAGGGCAGCGCCGCCGTCAAGGAGGCCAAGCGCGCGCTGCACGAGTCCAAGAAGCAGGCCAAGGCGCGCAAGGTGCAGCAGGACGTCGCAAAGACCATGCGCGAGGCCGAGGCCGAGGTGACGCGCGACGAGCGCGAGCGGTGGTTCGGCGAGACGCTGAAGCACGTGTTCATCACGTACTTCCGCATCCTCAAGCAGCGGGACAACATCGGCGGCCTGCTGCCGGCCGTGCTGGAGGGCCTGGCCAAGTACGCGCATCTGATCAGCGTCGAGTTCTTTGTTGATCTGTTCCACCTGCTGCGCAAGATCATGCGCGGCCAGCACGGCGTCGGCGTCGG